ATTTTTTTTTTTTTGCCAAATTTAATTACTTGATTTGATTTTTTATGCTTACAATTTCTAAAAATGATCCAGAGGAGAAAATAAAAACAGCTCAACTTTTCTTTGACTATAATGATCCATAGAAAGACCCATATTTGTATTTCTCTAAAGACTTGTATTTCTTTCTTTCATATAAGTGAGAGACAGAGACAGAGGGAGACAAGCATCCTCAACAGGGTCTCATGCCATGATCCCCCTCTTCACCTCCCACACACTAGCCTTCCTAACCAGCCAGGGTATGGGAAACTGAATCTTCCATGTTCATATAGGTTCACATTACCACTGTACCATTGAACTGACCCCTTTTTTTTTTAAGGACTTTTGAGGCTAAAACCCAGATCTACTTGTCTAAAATAATTGAAGTCTTTTCCATTTCCATTCCATTGATGATCTATCAAACCTACTTAAAACCTGTAATCTTATTTGAAATGTACACACCATTGTGTCACTACTTTCAAAAATCCATAACATTTAAGAATGTTCTGGGACCAGCGGGTGGTATACTTATTAAAACACTGAACTCCAACATGGACAATTGTGGTTCGAGTCCCGGATCCAGAGACTTGATACACACTGGACACATGTGCGTGCCTGCCTAAAATCCTGAAAGGAGAATGAAGGAAAAGGGATTGCAGCATGTCCATCTCCCGTGAGGGGGTGATTTCTTACTTTCTCTTTCTCTATCTCTCTAGGGAGCATTTCTACCTTATTACAAAAATTTCTAAGAATAAAGAATGTTCTTTTAAAGAAAAATAATTACACATGAATTAACAGGTTTTCATATAATGGCTCACAGATTTTTTTCAATCATATATCACATTAAATTAGTAATAAATACTTTATTTTGAAGACATGGCACATGATTTTTATTAATACCAATGGAGTTTAATAAAAGGCTTCATTGCTACATTACTTTTGGTCTAGAGAATACTGTATTTTTCTTATGTAACTTTGCATGCATGGGCATGTTTTTATGTACCATATTTATATGAGATATATAGGTATCCGAGACATGCAATTGTAATATGGCATTTAGTACATTTTATTACTTGAGTTTCTTTTTTTTCTTTCTTTCTTTTCTTTCTTTCTTTTTCTTTTTCCTTTTTTTTTTTTCCATGTACTCGCTAGAGAGAAAGTGAGAAATCACTGCCCTGGAACTTAGCCACACAATCCCTTCCTTTCTGTTCTCCTCTTAGGACTTTGGATACACATGCACGCACATGTTCTTGGCATGATTTTTAAGCCTTTGGGTCTGGGACTCAATCCATGGTTGGCCATGTGAGGAGTCCAGTGCCTTAGCCACAACACTACCTGATGATCCCACTACTCGAGTTTCTTTGACCTCACTAATCATAAATAGGCCAGTAACCACAATACACTGGAAGGAGAGAGAAGTCCTTCAAATCATAGAGGAAAACGTTTTCAAATTTGGATATAATGCACCATTTGTTTCAAAACAGTATTGCTCTTATCTCATGCTGCTCTGTGGCCCTTCTCGAAGCAAATTTTAAGAATGCAAAGCATGTGATAACTAAAGTTTCAGAGAAACTAAAGTTTATTTGAAACTTTATGTGGTAGTTGTAACAACTTACGTAGGTCAAAATCTCAAAACTGCTTTGACCTCAAGTTTAGCTTACACAAATCACAGTTTTGTTCTATAATAACCCCTTTTAAGCACTGATTGAACTTTCCATTTTTAAATAAAATTGGTGATAGGGGACTTTCTTTAACATTTCTTGATTTTAACTCCCCCTAGATTCGGGTAGTATATTCTTTTGGGTATGTATAGTTAAAGATAAAAATGAACAGACAGTAATAAAATGAATTAGTATGGCTATAGCACTTCCTTGCTAATGATGCATGAATATCTGTAATGATATAAGGTGGTAAAAGAACGTTAACAAAAGCAAGTTGATTTTCAAAAGGTTAGACAGGATTTGTACACATCAGAATTCAGAAGGATATAATTATTCAAGGCAGAGTTAATGAAATTCAAATGAAAAGGATTAATCTGAATATGAGTGCATGGGTTTTGCATAAAGAAGAGAAAATGAACATGATACTTCCAATTACACTGATTTTTTAATAACTGTCTGAAATTTTTATTAAACCAAACTAAAAGTCATTCAATGGACATAGTTTATTCATTATACACCTGCATAACTGTGTCAAAAAGAATGATAAATTTTGAAAGAATAGATTGTAATATAGAACTCTAAATATCAGTCTTTCGATTCCAATTTTTGGAAGTTTCTTGTATATAAAAATTATGATACAACTCTCTGTATTAAACTTAGTGTATTAGAAAGTTATATGAGAGAAAATAATTCAAAATGTATAAGAGTTTTCTAGAAAATGAACTGAGAGTTTTCTGCTAGTGTAAAAGAGTGATTTCGAAATATTTCTACATCTCATATAAGTTCACAGGATTCTATCTTAGTGCTCTGTTCAGCTGATCTGTATCAGCTATATTCTTTTAGGCTGCCTGTGTTTTTAGACCGTTGGTCGGAGACTGGCTGATGATGGTGAGACCTTATTTGCTGAGACAGCATTCGGGCCTTCAGCGCTGTGTGATCAGCACTAATTTATTTAAGAAAATCTCATGTTTATTTGAAGTTTCTCTATTCAAAACAAACTATAATTAGCTACAAATGCCATAGAAGTAGAAATATGGGTTTCAACTTTTGTTTCCAAAAGTTAATGTTAGTTAAAAGTGAGTATATTTTTAGTGCCTCTTTTCTTATTGTATTTGATCATTGAATTAAGTTCCTTCCTATTTATAATCCATAATTACTATACTTACAAAGGACCACTATGAATGTAAGATAGCTAAAGACATTCCAATCATAGGTAATGAAGACAAAGGAAAGTGTATGTTGAAGAAAAGCAGGAAAAAAGGTACAAAGAACTTAGAATGACTTTTCCCTTTAAGAAAAAAATGATGAGGACATATATCAGACTCATATATACATAACTCACACTTTTTTTAGTAAGACTCAGATGTTTCCTAAATATTTTGAAGATATATCTAATTCTAAAACAACCCCATTAGTTAAGCACTAAAAAGAAAAAAAAATAACTTGTTCTCTACATAATTCAATCCTTATTAACAACAACCACTATTCTCTAAAAGGCTACAGATATAAAATTCATATCATGAAGAACAAAGGTAATTGTACCAATTTATGAAATGTTATCATAAATTTTCTTGTTTTATATGTTTTCTATTTTTACCTCGAGAGTTAAAGCACCTGATGTAAACAAGGAAGACAAACTTACTAACTTGGAAATTGTATTAAGAATAACATAGTCACGTAGAGTAGGATTTTTATTAAGAAAACAGTCCAGTCTAACGGAACGTGTCCAAGTCACAATACATTTGTTTGACTTGCACAGTTGACTCTTTGTGTTAAAACTTTGTGTTACTTTGTGTTACAACCAGTGTGTCAGTGAAAACTTCACTTTCAAATCGCCTTTCAAATTGGTGGAATGTTTGATTTCAAATAGAGAAATCAGGAACTTGGAATTTTAAATCTATGATTAAATGTCATCTTCATCAAATTGTACTTCAAGTTTCTAATATCGTTTTCGATGTAAATAAGAAATATATGTGTATTATCATTCTGTCAATCCTAAAGGAATGTGTGGCATGGTTTTGCTTGGGATACGCACAGTAAAAAAAAAAAAATGTAAAACCTGTAGTTATGTTCTTTAAAAGCTATTTGGTGAAATTCTATGAATTGGCTATGTCATAAATAGATAAAATATCTAAAGTAGAATTATTTTATATCACGTAAGAATTACGTATAAAAATCCTGAGCCAATAAATTAAAAAGAAAACGTAAATTCACCAGCTTATAATTTGTACCCTCCTTTGTACAGGATTCCATCTGGGATCCCAAAGTCCATTTAATTAGATTACTGTAAAAATGAGTATGGTCTTGTCATAAAAGGCCGTTCAGTAATAAATGGCTGTGTTAGCATGCTTATGGTTCAGACTTCCCCAGAGACCCTGCCACTGAAACCCTCTGCTGACCCCATCAAGAGGCAGGTTGCAGTTGATCAATTCAAAACAAAGTTACTGGGAGAATCATTTCAATTACAAGAGTTTTGCTGTCGATAGTGTAGACAGAAGAGAGCAGAGGTTATCCATCTTTCAGAATTTGCATGCCAAGTGGTATTTATTTCTTGCTCTTATAAGGAATGGGGAAAGGGGCACTACTGGGAAACTCAAAAAAAAAAAAAAAGAAAAAAATCTCTGAGCTGTAAATCCTCATCATTCCTGGCACTCGGGTCCCTGTTAGAAAAGTATAGATGTGAAAAGAGAGGCTAGTCCCCTTCTCTCTCTGGACTTAATAAAACTTGAATTCCAATCAGTCCCAGTCTTTTAGAAGCTTAATTAGCAGCTTAACTTAGCAAGAAGCCAGCATCAAAGCGAGAACCTTATGTCTGGAATTTGGAGGGAAGAACTGCTCAATAGAAGGGTTATATACCAGCCCAAATCACTTTATGCCTCTTCAAATTTAGGGAGGCTAAGGATAGGAAAGATTCCTCCGTAATGAGTAGAAGGGTTGTGGATACCCACCCTACCCCACACTGTACCTGAATTTCCATGAAGCTTAGAATTAAAATGTAAAAGTCGATTGCTAAAAGTGCCCTTCTATTAGAGTATACTACTGTCCTCTTGACCTATGACCTATGATCTATGACTCTTGGTCTTTCATCTTATATTCATGGTGCTAATGTGTATGTATCTTGTCGGATAAAATGCTTCTAACACTTTTTGGAAGTACGTAAAATAATAATAATAATAATAACCTCCTAACTACACTTACCACCATGAGGTACTACATCCACTTTCAGACCTCTATCAGCTATAGACTGGAACTGAAATAAATTCAACAGAAGGCTTTTCATTATTAGGAAGCTAAAAGAGTTGTTCTTTTGTATATCTATACCAGCGCACTGTCCGTGAAGAAACGGTGATAGTGACGACTGAAGACATGCCTTTGGAAATCTCTTATGTGCCTTCTACTTATCTGACTGAGATCACTTATGCCTCACAAGCCCTATCAGAAGTGGAACAGCTTCTCAGTGCTCCTGACCTCTGTGCTAAAGATTTTGAAGATCTCTTTAAACAAGAAGAGTCTCTAAAGGTAAAAGCAAAGCACTTGCATTTAGATTTTACATGATTATCACGTTGATCATGTATAGTACCATAATGATTTATTTAAATTGTATACACAGTAAAGGCCATTTCATTTATTCATGGAATTCTTAAAATTGCTTGATAGTGGGACCAGAGGATGGCGTAATGGTTACATCACTGGATTTCCACATAGTCAGCTCTAGTTCGAGTCCCAGATCTGGAGACATAAATTCACACTGGGTGTGTGTGTGTGTGTGTGTGTGTGTGTGTATGTGCATGACCAAAACCCTGAGAGAAGAATGGAGGAGCAGGGATTACAGGATGACCATCCCCCTGGGAGTGATGTCTCATTTTCTGTCTCTCTGGCAAGCACATGCGCCCTATAGCAAAAATCTCTCTTAAAAAAAAAATCGCTTTATAGAGTTTTAGCCACAGTAGTGCCATAGTGGTGCATAAGAGAGCCTAGCTTCACAGTGGCTGAGACTGCCCTGGAGCCTAGGTTTGATTCCTGGCCCAACCTAAACAGATGGGGATTGGTGGTGAGCACCTGTGGCCCTAGGTAACTGGGAGCCTGATGAGGGGGACAACGACTAGCAAAGCCCTATTAAAAATGCCCCTTCTCTCTTTCTCTCTCTCAAACCACCCTGCAAAAAAATCCACACATTTTATAAGATGGTTTTAGAGTAAGTTCATGACATGGTGGTTAAAGCTGCTGGATTTCACACAGCCAACTGTGCAGTTCAAGTCCTGGGCCTGGAGACGTGCTTATCCTAAAAAACAGATTAACCACATGTGCACACATGCCCAAAATCCACAAAGGAGAATGGAAGAGAAAGGATTGCAATGTGGTATTCCCCCTAGGCGATCCATTCTAACTTTCTCTCTCTTTCTCTCTCTCTGGTGAGTGCACATCCCATAGCAAATTACAAAAGAAGATGGTTAGCTTTAAAAATCTAAGGTAGAGGGGGCAGTTGGTTGCAGTATGGTTGAGGCACTGGACTTCCACATAGCCAATCACAGTTTAAGTTCTGGATGTGGTGCCTTGCTTTCTCACTTTGCTTCCCCTTTCTGTCTCCCTCTGTGTCTCTGATCAAATTTAAAG